GAACTCTTATCCTTTCAACAGAACCATATTGACGAACTCTCTCATTACGTTTTCAAAACGTGATTAGAAAGAGTGGAGAGAAATTTCGCAAACATAAGCATATCTCGTTAGGTTTAATGAGAACCATACGTGTGAATAACTATCATTACATAACAAAACCTGCCCATCATTATTTTGTACTTAGAGTGCCTTTTAATCAGACACATCCTACATAGTTGCATTATTCGACAATTCTGATAAGTTAAACTTTTAACTGGTTAAACTTTCCACTTTTCATTATTTCTTGAGCATTGTGTTTTATTAATACGAAAATTTATTACAAAAAAACCTTTCTCTTAATAACCTTTCTCGGACAATCAAAAAATGCTTGAATCGCGTGGTTTTGAATTGATAAAAGACAGAACTTGTGACAAGATTACAAATAAGCACACGTATATGCGCAAAAATCTCAAACATAACTTTAACTTTCCATTCGATAATATCTTCTCTTTATGTGCGACAAGTTAAAAAATGTTCTTGCCTACACGTATTTCTGTGCAGCGATAATGCCAGAAAGATTACAAAAACTACATGCATGTACTGAAAGTGTATAATATTAAGTTTATTGATTTCATAAATATCGCCTTCTACTTTAAAAAAAGATTATATTTCAAAATTGTTATTTGTAATTTCACAAGTTGTGACGTTAAGTTACTAGCGATTGGTTAAAATGAATGATAAAGAAACGACAGTGTAGAATTTGCCTAGGAAGGAAGCATCGGCAGTCATCCTATTTAAATCTATTTTACTTTTTTTTTTAATCTAATCCTTGCTAATTACAGACCATTATATAATGATTGTTGTTACCATTTTGTTTGTTTTTATGCCATTACATATTTTAAGTGTAATTCGTTTTATGTTTCTTTCAAAAGGTATTGAATATAATTTCCAAAACATTTTCCATATACATATAATTCCGAAACAAAACAGCGAAAACAACTTCAAAACGATCAAAACAAAAAAGATATATTTGTCGGAATATTTAACAAAATTAGTATAAAGCGGATAAATCAGTCTCCAGATGTGTAAGAATTCCAGGATTGTGGGAATTGTGCAGCAAAAGAAAATGGATAGGTCGTCTAGAGTTTTTCTGGGATTATAAGATTGTGAAATAATATACCGTAACTTCTCTCTTCACAAACAGTAGTTGCCAAACGTTGTTTCAGGCTTAGACAGTGTCGAAACAAACAATCAGAATATATGGAATCCTGGGATAACACTTATCTATCATCATATCAAATTCTCTATGAACTTAAACATTTGCTCACTTAGCCTTAAGCTTTTTAAAGTATTTTTTACGTCGGCACTATTTTTTTACTTTTATTACCTGACTCGTAAATATGAGCAACTTTGAACACAGATCGTATCACCAAATAAATTACTACTACTAAAAAGTAGCTTTAAACATTGTAAAAGTAGACAGTGTATGAAACATTAATCATAGTCGTGAAATGTTTCAAAGGTTTAATTTACGAAAGACGACTGTGGAATTGATAGTTTTACAAGGTTGGCTATTAAGACAACAGCAAACTTCATATAAACAAGAACTAGATTCGAACTTCCGCGTTGAAAACATATTAACATGCATCTATTATATACATTGAACAATGCTCTTAAAAATCACAGTTAGCTAGGTTTGTTAATTAGTTAGGTTGGTTGGTTGGTTGATTGGTTGATTGGTTGGTTGATTGGTTGGTTGGTTGGTTGGTTGGTTGGTTGGTTGGTTGGTTGGTCGGTTGTTTGGTTGGTCGGTTGGTTGGTTTGTATAATGCCTTTTTTAGCACGTGTTTAGTCGGTCCACCTAACAAGCTTTCCTTCAAAGCTTACAAGTAATTTCCAATTTCTCAACAAGTGACCCACTACTTATCCTAAAATATTTTTGACTCATCGATAAGAGATGAATGAGAAAAAGACTAAATGTCCGAGATTGCCCGTTAGTTTCATATAAAATTTTCAAGCCAACGAATTTTTACTTTACGTTCTTCAAGCTTTAATGTACGAAAATATTATTGTGGACTTTACATTGCGCCAAACAGACAACTTATCTGTAATAATGCCACGAAACATCAATCCTAAAAGGAGTCGTGACCGGTTTAAATATTTGGTTGATTGTTTAACATCTCATGTTATACATTTTTAGTGACAGCTAATCACCAAACAAACATATTCATGAATCTTGTCAATGGTATCCATACATCATATTAAAACGTAACATCTGTTATCCTTTTTTCTTTAGACAGCGGCATTTGTATCATGATATTGCAAAAGTACGAATTTACCTAGTAAGGATACTAAAAGCATAGAGACATACTTACATCTCTTCTTCCATTACAAAATCTAGTAATGTTTTAGTCTTTTACCATCATCCCATCTGTATGCTTGTTGGGTAAAACGGTCTAGTCTAAGTCTAAACATCGACTAATATTTTTCACTTATTCTTGACAACCTTGAAATTTTTAAAACGATATCAAAAAAGGAGTAATTAGAAAACATAATATGGACAAGCAACAACGTCGGTAAATCGATCATCATTATCATACAACAGATAAATTTGATTTTTCTGCTCATTTGTGGGATAAATCTGAGATTATGAGAGCTGCTGCAGTTAAAATAAACCATTCCTGGAAAATGACACATTATAATTCCCCGGATATGATAAACACATGTGAATCTTTCGAACGACATTATCCAGTCAAAAATATGCTATCTATAGAGACTACAAAATGCTGCAATCTGATGGAATCAGTCTGTATGTTTCATGGAGAACAAAAGTTTTTGAAATTTAGAAATATTAAATGTTTTATCACAATGCTATACTGTGTATTAAATTATTTAAAATGCCGTGCGTAAAGAAAGGTAAAGAACTTTAATTTTCTGTAAACTATAAATCTTAAGCAGAAACAAAATTATAATTTGCTTGCATTTTTTAAACAAATATTTCCTATTTCTTGAAATTGTTTACTAATTTGGAAAAATGCAGCGTAAGTCCTAATAGAATAGGAAACTAAAGAGTTTAACCAAACATGTTTTTTTATTGAATAATAGCCAGGATGTACTTATAAGGTGAAATTTATCATGGTAAGCCTAAGTTTATTCTCTTCTGAGCAGAAGACATGCTTTATATACCACACGCTTAAATTGTATGTTACTTCTAAATTCTAGCTAGCAATTGTAATTTTATGAAAGTTTGAAAAAAACAATATTCAATCATTTATAATCTCAGACTGGTTGAGCAGTAAATTAAGTCAATACTTTATTGTAATTAACAATTAAATCAGAGCTGACTTTGTGCAAAGTTACTGAATATCAATCCGAGATATGATTGGTCAGTGAAGGTATAACAACGGCTGAAACGTCAAATAGTATATGTTACAGACAGATCTGTTTTCACGTGGACGTCACCACACGTTTAAAATGTAAGACATATTGTTTCATTTACATACAATTACATCAATACAGACTCTGAATTAGGTATACAATCGCTTTATCAACTATATAAATCAACAACAGATAGAGCGAACTATAGTAGCATTTAAAACATGTTTATAATACAAGATTATTTTACAACATTGTTCTCGGAAAATACATAGAAAGTGTAAAATGAAAATATTACTTTTATTCTCAATTTGTTTGCATTCAGCAATATTACTGATGCCACTGATCTACATTATATACGAGTATAATATTTAAGACAAATACAAGTATAAAGAATATTTCTATAATCAATATTGTTATGCAGTTGGTGTACTGAAATTTAAGACAAATACAAACAACAATTACGGACGTTAATGAGTCTGAAATCGCTAATAAGCTGCCTGTAGAAATCATCAATACTACATAGAATACCATTGTGAGGTGAAATACAGTTTTGACTTCCTAGTCTAGTCTTGTCTCTGCAATTTGCATCGGCAAAAGCATAATCAGACTGATTATTAAGAGTGCATAGTAACGTTTCGTGCGGCAAAAGTAATGAGATTTTCCAATCTCTTATAATGAAAAAGCGTATTCAGACTGTTGTTACTTTTTAAAAGGCTTTTTCAAGCTCATGCATACAATACACTTTTATAAATTGAAATATTGTTTGTTATAAAACTCCATCAATAACAGAAGACAAAACACTTTAAGTGTTAAAAATAGTCCTTGATAAATAATGTAAACTTGTCGAAAAGAGGATATTATGATTATTCTTCTATAATTTGAAATGGATAAAATATTTTATAAAACGTTATAAAATTTATAAAATAGAAAATAACAAATAAGATGCTTTAAAAAAAGATACCCACTATTTAAATGTAACATGAATTTAATTTGAAAAACGCTCTTTTTTATTTTTCAAATATGCCATTTTCTTATTAATACAAGATAAATTTAAAATAGAATTGTATTATTGTTTTCATTTATTTTGTAATATTTATCTTGAACATAATATATGATGTTGAGATATTCACATATCAATGTAAGTTACGCATTTTTGACAATATCGTTTTTTGTATTCGCTGCGTTAGCAGTGAATACAGTTCTATCACAATTTGCGGGATTGCAATAGAAGAATGGGTACCGAACAACGCAAAGTAGCTCTACACAGATTTTCTTGTCACACACAAGTGATAAGATTTTGAATTGTCAGTAGTTCATTTTTGATTGTGTTATTTCTATCGTATATTATTTGCATGTTTTCAGGATATAATCAGTAAAAAATATCATTAGTATTCATTCGCGTTAACTTTGCGTAAGGAAGTAGTTCGTACCAAAACAAAGTTTTCGACGTGAAAGCTGGTCTCATCATTTTCTAAAAGTAGGTACAGAAAACTTACCAATATTATTTGAACTTAATTTTATTCTGTTTTGGAATTCTTATTTGGATTTCATGATGCGTAACAGTGTTGATAATTCAGGTGTCTTGATATATTTTTTGTTTGTTTGAGTTGTTTCCCTTGTTTTCCCGCAATATCACTTGTTTTGTCTATGTTTAAGCGGCTTTGTTTGTAAAAAGTTCAAAGTGTTCTTAATTTATTGGAAATATGGATTATTGATAGTTGGTCAGTATTATTTTGAGTTGCATTTGGTTTGAATTAGTGTTTTATAGAGTGTATGTCATAGATGATTTTTTAATTAAGTAACGAGTGTGGTCTGATTCGAAATGTCATCAGTTTTTCGTGATTTGGAACCTTTTGAGAATTGTTTTCAGAAAAAATCCGTTAATCTAGCTCTCTGTTTACTTAATCTCACAATTTATTCATATCACTTTGCACATTGTGTTTATTATATTTTGCAGAAGTTACAGCAGAGAGAGAGAGTTTGACAGTATGCGTGTTTGAAGAAGATAATGCTTTTATTGGTACATTCAATTCCACAAACTGGTGAGTTTAGAATTTATTTATGATTATGATGTATTTTATAATAACTTCATTAAATGAACTTATGATTGTGGCGGCCAAAGAAAGCATATAGCTATATTATAAGTTAATATACCTACAGGTTAAGTAAGCTGTTCAATGTGTTGTAAATATTTAATACACCGATAAACACTTTCAGAACTAGCAGACGAGAGGCTTTTCTTATCAGTAGTTTTAGGAATAAAGATAACCGGTTGTTTTCTCACTATATAAATTGTATGTAAAATGGTCTGACATGTGGTAGGGTTAACTGTTCATTTGAATACTTTGTGGAGTCAAAAGATGTGTTGAAGAATATACTGTGATGAAGCTAAGATCCAACGTTTGCTATTGGTGTAATTCATTTTAAAAGCAGACATTTAATCAGAACAAACTAGCGGTTTTGTTTAAGCATAAGAGATATCAATTTTACTCGAAGATAAGGGAAGCAACTTGTATTTTTTCACTTGATATACCTCGGTTATTTTAGTAGATCATATAGAAAGTGTGAATGGGTTTATTGTAATTGACCATAAATTTGGAGGTTTTTATTTAAATGATAATTATGCATTTCAGGCAAAGGAAATTGATTTAACTCTATTTTTATGTTGATGTAATTTGTTTAATTTCAGAGTGTTGATTTCCTCGATTTCATTGACTCGATGATTCATTCTTTGATTTCTAATGATCAATCAACTTATTGATTTACTGATTGATTGGACATGTCATGGAGCTTAATATAGATGGAGAAGTAACTTAGACGTCATACAGTTAAATTCAGTATTATCGGGGTTGTTCTAGTGCAAGTTATCATGTGTTTCGGGATTTTCCAAGATTTGATGCATCCTGGGTAATAGTAGCCAAAATACCGCCATATTCAATTCCAAGAGGAACATTGACAAAAAAAGACGAAGCATTTTCTACTTACATAAGAAGCAATAGTTATTTATGTTAAAACGTACCATACACACTTTTCCACACAGATATTTTTTTTACTTGAAAACTATTATTTTTTACTATGACTTTTTTAGTTTCAAAGGCATCTACCTCTTACTTCAAATACATATTCCTTATCATCAATTACATCTTATGTGACTAGGTTCATAATTTACTCTTAAAGCAATATTTCCAGGTTAATATCCCTTTGAACTATTTTTTAAAGAAATATAATAAGTAATTTAATTTACTTTTTAGCTCACCTGAGCAATGCTCAGGGTGAGCTATTGTGATGGCCCTGTGTCCGTCGTCGTGCGTCGTCAACTTTTAACGTAAACATCATCTCCTCTGAAACCAATGACTGCACATCGACCAAACTTTACAGAAATGATCCTTGGGTGGGCCCCTTTCAAAGTTGTTCAAATGGTTCCGGTCTGTTGCATATGTAGGTCATAGGGCCAGAAAAGGATTTCAAAAAACACAAAATTAAAAAATCTTCTTGTCTGAAAGTACATGGGCCAGAGCTTTGATTTTTGGTATATGGTATCATTATGGGTCCTCTACCAAAGTTGTTCAAATTTTGTCCCTAGTGTCAAAATTGGCCCCAACCTAGGGGGTCATAGGTTTTTCCTTATATGTATATAGTAAAATCTAAAAAAATCTTCTTCTCTAGATGTTTAGCATGAAACATCTTCGAATGGGTGTCAACCAAGATTGTTCAAATAAAAGCCCTGTGGTTTCAACTGGCCCCGCTCCGGGGGCCTATATACAGGTGAGCGACTTTGGGCCATCATGGCCCTCTTGTTTATATTTCTTATCATTACACATATGTTGTGTGACAAGCATGACTATTTCCAGAATTACCCCCCCCCCACCTTGAACTTATTCATGGAATTTATGTAAACAAACGTTCTTAGTTTCATAGTTTTGTCTTCCATACCAACTTATCTCAGCCTCTTGATATTTTGTATACAGTATTGACGTGGTCCCATACCGTCGGATTTGATTTTAGTTCTGTCGCTCACCAAGCCCCATTTACCGTTAAATTTTCAAAATTAATGGTCAATGGTAGGAAATTTTTGTGACAGATTTTTTAGCAACTACTTATCACAGGCTCTTGATATTTGACAAACAGCATTGACACATGGTCTTATACTGTGGGATTCGATTTCAAGTCTTTCATTCATCCACTTCCTGTTAACTGTCTTATTTAAATTTTCCACATTAATGGTCAGTGGTAAATATTTTTCAAAACATTACAGCATCATGATATTTGGTATAGAAATGCAACCCGACCTTTTCTGTCTTTGACCCATTTTTTTTTTTAAATTTTGAAAACATTCATTTATTATTGTTGAAATCTACTTATAATACCTTTAAAATACCATGTTCCCAGTACTTTTTATAAACATGCTTAAGTTGTTCTTAACATACACAAAACAAACTTGTACATTCCTTTATTAGAAATTGTCTTTTTTATATAACCAGGCACAAGTGACAAGATAATATTTATGTATATGCTATTATCATTGTGGACACAAACTGTAAACAAAGGTATCATTTTTGATTCTAGTCAAAGTAAAAACAAACAGTGATTGCACTAGAGTTATATAAGAAAGTTTGTGGGAGCTTTACATGCTCATAACATTTCTATCTTTGTCAGAGAAATATTTGATTTCTAAGAAATAAACTATTTTGACTTCAATTTCCGAAGAAACATGACACTACACCCCAAATTTAAATGCATAATAACTATTACATTTGTTTGACTTAACTGTTTCTTATGGTCAATAGTGTTACATGTATATAATTTTTTATGTTCATTTTACATTTGCTTGTTTTTTCTATCATTTCAATCCATAATGTCTTAATCATTATATAATTTGATAATACCTTAATTATGTAGCATTGTAGCATTGTTTTATGATTTACATTGTATTTGCAATTTTGTGAACATTTATCAGTAAGTAATATTCTTAATAAAAGAAATTTCACAATTGATATGAAGTAACAAGCCATTTATAGAGTGTGTTTCCGATTTATGAAAATGTTTTTAACAAATAACTTAAAATTGAGCAATCACCATACTTTCTAGCATAAGAATCTTAAAGTAAAATTACTTAAATTGCAAGCAAGTTGCAATTTTATACATGAGATAAACTTATCGTGACCAAATTTGTTTTTCATGTTAGCAAGTTCTGTATATATGCTTTAATTAGAAAAGAACACTGATTATGTATGAAGTAACTGAATGTTTGTCATGCAACATTAAATTGGGTAAAATTCAGACTATTAGATAAGGCGATGTACTTATTAATGCTGTTATAATTACATGTATTATTATTGTGAGTAAAAAGGTTCTGGGGATATTTCTATCATGTTTTAACGAGGGGCATAGATAATATACATTGTTTACTTTTTAGCTCGACTATTCGAAGAATATGAGAGCTATTGTAGTCGCGTCGGCGTCAGCGTCGGCGTCTGCGTTGGTTAAAGTTTTTTGTAAAGTCAAATATCTCAATTATTAATTGAGATATTCAATTGAAACTTACAATACTTATTTATAGTAACAAGGTACATCAGATTGACAAGTTGGATAACTCTGCCTACAATATTGACAGAATTATGCCCCTATTTAACTTAGAAATTTTGGTTAAAGTTTTTTGTAAAGTCAAATATCTCAATTATTGCTGGAGATATTTAATTGAAACTTACAATACTTATTGATACTAACAAGGTACATCAGATTGACAAGTTGGATAACTCTGCCTACAATATTGACAGAATTATGCCCCTTTGGAACTTAGTATTTTGGTTAAAGTTTTTTTGTAAAGTCAAATATCTCAATTATTGCTTGAGATATTCAATTGAAATTTGAAATACTTTTTTATAGTAACAATGTACATCAGTTTGCGAAATTGCATAACTCTGCCTGCAATATTTGCAGAATTATTTGCCCCTTTGAAACTTAGAACTTTGGTTAAAGGTTTTCAAAGATATTTACTTGAAACTTTACACATGCACTTAGGGTCATAATTGGAAGGTCATAATTGTATGTCACTGACCATGTTCCATAACTCTATCTTGCATTAAGGCTGATTCATATCCCCTTTTCTACTTAGTCTCTTGGTTAATGTTTACATGCAAGTTTTACATATCTCAATAACTATTAAAGAAATTTATTTAAAATTTCACTTATGATTTAGGGTCATAATTGTAGGTCACTGACAAGATCCATAATTCTATCTTGCATTTAGGTGGATTTTTCCCCCTTTTTTCAACTTAGAAATTCATGGTAAAGTTTTGCTTGTAAGCTGTTATATCAACAACTACTGAAGGGTTTGTGCCTTTTTTGGGACTATTTTATGCATTCATGATAATAAAGCAGTGATTTACTTGATAAAACATCTTAATAACAAGCCTTTGTACCTTTTCTGTCAAATTTATGTATTCATAGGTAATTTAAATATTATTATACTCAAAAAAACACCCTTGTGACATTTCCTTCCGAATAGTCAAGCCAATACTGTATAATTAGACTCTCTCTAAGGCCTATAACATGAATTTATATAAAAAAAATAGCCCTTTTTGTGAACTTAAAAGATTTAACATTATCAAGGCTCTTTTGCTATCAAGCACTTAGAATAGTCGAGCGTGCTGTCCTACCGACAGCTCTTGTTAGCTCACCTGTCAGAAAGTGACAGGGTGAGCTTTTGTGATCGCTTGTTGTCCGTCCGATCAAAAACTTTTACTTTAAGGTATTAGGACCCTAATGGGCACTATCAGGAACTAAAAAATGACATCATAAGTCAGATGTATACCTTAAAGTGCACCTGTATGCAAAATTTAAACAAAGTTTACCGTACGGAAATCAAGTTATGGCCACTTTTCTGAACTCTTGCTAGGATGTTATGAGGGCCCTTTTTTAGAAAGTAGGAACCTTTAAATAATCTGCAATAACATTCTAATGAAAAATGTTTTCCCATTAACTTTTGGTAAGAAACAAATAGTACCATTTAGCTAACAATCCAAATAAGCAAAATTATGGTTTCTACTTAAAATTTATGAAATCTGTATAAAATGTTACCCTACCCCACCCATTTTTACCACGTGTCTGACCAATTTTCTACTTAGGGAGCCTAATTTAAAAAATTCTTTAAATTTACCCAAATGAGTGCCTGTTTTCAAAGTTTCCCTAAATTTTTAAAAAAAAGTATGTTGGTTGATCTTGTAAAAATATGAAAATACTTTTACCGTCTAGTTTTGATTATATTACACTTTGAAAAATATCAGGTACCATATTTATTACTAGATTTAGCATAATTTAGCCAAGTAAATACCTAATATAAATTAAAAAATCAAAATTAGACACTTTTTTCTTTCCAAATGGGACATGAGAGATACACAAATAATGTTAAAAGAAAAAAATAAAGAAAAAAAACGTGACCCTTCTGGGGATTGAACCCATGGCCCTCATTTTCAATGTAGTTAACAGTAGTTCTAGCCTATTTGAATACTCTTCAAAGCGGAGGTAATGCATTAGGGTTATAATACCTTAAATGACATCTCCTCATAAACCACTAAGCCAATTTCATCCAAACCTCACAGGAATGTTCCTTTGGTGGTCACCTTTGAAAATTGTTCAAATTTAATTCCATGCAGAACACTGGTTGCCATGGCAACCAAAAGAAAAAAAACTTAAAATATCTTCTTCTAAAAAACCCAAAGAGCTAGAGCTTAGATATTTGGCATGAGACATCTTCTAGTTTAGTGTCTACCAAGTTTGTTCAAATAAAGCCCTGGGGTCAAAAATTGGCCCCGCCCCAGGGGGGTCATTGATTTTCCCTATATGCATATAGTAAAAACTTGAAAATTCTTCTTTTTAAAGAACCCAAAGAGCTAGAGCTAAGAAATTTAGCATGAAAACATCTTCTAATGGGTGTCTACCAAGTTTTGTTCAAATAAAAGCCCTGGGGTCAAAATTGGCCCCGCCCCAGGGGGTCATTGATTTTCCCTATATGCATATAGTAAAAACTTTAAAAAATCTTCTTATAAAGAACCAAAAGAGCTAGAGCTAAGATATTTAGCATAAAACATGTTCTAATGGATGTCTACCAAGTTTGTTCAAATAAGAGCCCTGGGGTCAAAATTGGCCCCGCCCCGGGGGTCATTGATTTTCCTTATATGTGTATAGCAAAAACTTAAAAATCTTCTTTGAAAAAAAACCAAATAGCTAGAGTTTAGATATTAAGCATGGAACATCTTCTAGTAAGTGTCTACAAAGTTTGTTCAAATAAAAGCCCTGGGGTCAAAATTGGCCCCACCCCGGGGGTCATTGATTTTCCTTATATGTGTATAGCAAAAACTTAAAAATCTTCTTCAAAAAATCTGAATAGCTAGAGTTCACATATTAAGCATGAAACATTTTCTAGTAAGTGTCTACAAAGATTGTTCAAATAAAAGCCCTTGGGTCCAAACTGGCCCTGCCCAAGGTGTGTCATTGTTTTTAACTATATGTGTAAAAAAAAACTTGACCAGCTAGACCTTAGATGTTTAGCATGAAACATCTTCTAACGGGTGTCTACCAAGTTTGTTCAAATAAAAGCCCTCGGGTTTAAACTGGCCCCGCTACGGGGCCTTTATACAGGCAGCAACTAGGGCCATCATGGCCCTCTTGTTTATCAATATTGCAATTGGTTTTAAAGCTGTGTTTTCTTAAATATGGATATTATTGAATCATCCTTGACATCAGTATTCTCATTTTTTTAGCTCACATTAGCAAAAGCTCAGCTATTACAGACAGTCAAAGATTCCTGGTCTGTCCATCATCCATATTTCAATAATGTCATATTAAACTACTCAGTTTGAAAACGTCAAAAATTCTCATTTACTGTGTGCAAGAACGCTTAAAATTAATTTGGTCTTTTGCATGATAAGGTCACAGTAGGTAAAAAAAGATTAGATATTACAACCATCCTTTTCTCTTATTGTCCCATTTTGCTTGTTTTGCATTATTAAAGCCATTTCCTCATACTCCCATTCCATTTGTAATGTTTCTTTGCAAAAAAAGTAAATAACAGACTTTTAAAATTTATTTTTGACTGTTACAGGCTAATTAAAATTATAATACTCAAACTATTAAAAGTACTTTTTTTGTATTTTTTTAATCTCAGAAATTTTTAAAATTAAAGTATTTTACAAAAATACCTATATTTTCTTCTTAAATTTCATGAAATTAACATGTTCCAAGTTTCACTTTTCATCAAAACTGAAATGCTTTAGCTAGGTAATCTGTCTGTCATTACATTTGAAGCTTATGTAGCAATATAGTATTCTAGGTATTGTTACTGTTTATATATTCATTATAACATAATTCTCTCATCATGTTAAAGATCTAGTCATGAATGTACTGCATGCATTCATATTTTGGATGTATATTTTATTGTACCACTTAGATAATGTAATAAAGTTGTTCTCATTTAGTTTATTCTTATTTCTTTCCCTCTTTCAATGTAATATTCAACAACCAGTGTTAAATAATGTCTCTATCAGATTGATAATCTGTAATTCAGTGGCCCATATTCCTTTATTCGTTACAATTGCAACATTTTTAGTAAGACACATATGTATTTTTAATGCGCAGCGAATACATCAGTGCTTTCAGCGCTTTGATTAATAATTTGTCACAAAACACGCAAACTGATTAATGAAATATGTGCAGTTCTTGCAAACACCAGATTTAAGACGTGAATTTTAGAGTAACAAAATTAACATAATTACGAAAAGTAGATCAAATGTACGTGAATAAATCAGACTTCAACCAAAATCAGAATTCGTTGGTACTCCTTGACAGTTTCACACTGATAATAACTGTGACCCGAAAAATTATTCTAAGAAACAAATTACATTTAATTATTATTATTCAAACGATTGAAATAATATGCGAATTTTAATAGACTTTGCAAGACAAGTAAAAGCTATTCTACTGAGTAATATTTATTT